CTGTGATTCTCTACGTGAGACTTTTTCACTGGCGCCAAATAGTCGATCTCTATACAAGCTTACGCTCATTTTCAGACAAAGCTATAGGAATGGCTTCAAACCGTATCAAAAGGATACCGTAGTGTATTATTATCCATTAAAAAAAAAAATGATTCCACCATTGACAAATACATCACAAATCGGTAAATCACGTCCAATGTTATTATACCATTGGAAACCGGTAAAGCACATCCCAGGTATTGTATTTTCTTTAAATCACAAATGAATGAACATAGCCTTTCACCTGTACATGTCGCTAGAAGACCTGGCAATGCACACGTGACACTGTGATTCTCTCGTGAGACTTTTTCACTGGCGCCAAATAGTCGATCTCAATACACAAGCTGTCGCTCATTTTCAGACAAAGCAATAGGAATGGCTTCAAACAGTATCAAAAGGAAACAAGATTCAATGATAACTGCCTTGATGTTACGTAATCACTTTATTGGGGGCAATAAAATGTTGACTGCAGAAGAACGATATCAAACGGTATTGCTAAATCAACATTTACTCTCTCAATATATGTACTCGTATGGTATTAAAAAATACCGATCCCGAAAAAGAAAAGGGTTTATAAATAAAACAGAACACATACTTAGCTATGATAATTTAATAACAAAAAACAATTGTATTATATGCATGAACACTAAAAAAACTATATGCATGAACACTAAAAAAAAACCATGAATACTAAAAATACACAACACTGGAAAAGACTGATTCATAGATATAAAATTGGAAAACAATCACATATAAAGAAATATAATTGCAGCATGCACATTAAACAGAAATCAAAATTCGAAACAAATCACTGGTTAATACATATTAAGAACGTTTTGAAGAAATAAATGCAGCATGCACATTAAAAAAGAAATCAACAATGGAAAACAATCATGGTTTATGCATGGGAAGAACGTTTCAAAGAAATAACGGCATGCACACAAAACAAAACAAAAACAACACATGAAAACTATCCCTGGTTTATATATATAAGCACGTTTTAAAGAAGCAATAGCACATTTAAAAAAATACATCACATTTAAAAACCACAACACTGGAAAATTGGTTATTTTTATAGCACGGTATCAAAAGGAAATAGGATTCAATGATTACTGCCTTTATTCAATGATTACTGCCTTGATGTTACGTAATCATTTGATTGCGGGCAATAAAATGAAGAGCGATTTTTGTTACACCGGTGTTATATTTATGAGTCAAGTTACGAGTCACTACTCAAAATAAAGTTTGGTACGGATCAAAATCCGAAACGGATTTATAAATAAAACAAATATTTATTTAATTTAATAACAAAATCAAATTGTATGTATTGATAATGTAAATAAACCATTTAAATCCTACACCACAGGCTGTTAAAATGGTTAATAAATATCTGTGTCTTGAAAAAATCTTTCAAAAGTGACTTATTGACATTGTTCAACATTGGGGTTGAGGTATAGACATCAAAATAAAAAAAGAAACGTATGACCAAGGCAAGGGCGACACAAAACTGTCTTATTAGTTTCCAAGGAGAGACAATGGCTTCTGTCGTTTGAATAAAATGCTTCGGCTTGAAAACGACTTGTGAAATCGGGGTGTTCCCACTTAGCCGGCAGGCTTTGATGTCAAATTTTGCCGCTAATCCAGAGTTAATCCTAGAACAATGGTGTTATAAACTATAGTCCATATCTTTTTTAAGACTAAAACTGTATTGATTTTAACAAATTTAACTTTTATTAAATAACATTAAATAGCTTACACATATAAAAATATATTGATTTAAACAAATTTAATATTTATTAAATATCATTAAATGATCTACACATATAAAAATGCATTACAATTTACACATTTAACTTTTATTAAATAGCATTATATAATTTATAAATAAATGCCTTACAACATAATCATTTTACAGCCCCACTAAATTGGAAATATTTGTTCCATACCGATTTACACTTAAAGAGCCATTTAATAATCTGTTTTCAAATGTTCAATTCTTGTATCAAGTCGATATTTCTTAACTCGAGGCCTTTTGGTACCACCAAATAATATCTGTGAAATGATGATTTCGACATAGGATTGTTCTTGTTTTATTTAGTTAATGAACTTGTAAATATTAGGATTACATGCTGTCATTTTATTCAACTTAGAATGCCAACCTTCTACGTGGTTGGCAGTACGGGGCCCTGTTGTATCAAAATGGTTCCACACATTACGGCCATTATTATCAACCCACTGCTCCGTCATATAATCAGCGACCCGCCCTACTTGTAGAATGTTTAAATCTACAGCTTCCAAAGCAAAGAACCAAAAATCCTCGATATCACACATTCTTATCAGTGGCAAAGCTGATGTGTGGCGTACAAATTGTCTTATAAGAGGGTTGTCCTGGAATAAATTCTGGAGTCCACAACAGTTTTCCAAATGGCCTGGCGAAAATGAAACATGCACCATTTAACATCAGAATTAAAAACAATCCTTGCGGCATTTTGTGCTGCGGTCTCAAAATTGGTAAATATTGTTGATGGGTTCAAGTTTCCTGTAAACAAATAGCTAAAGGATTGTACTTTTGAACTAATAATTGAACTTCATTAAAATTTGGTTTTAAACCACGACAATGGACATCCACTACAGTAATGTCGTCCATCAGATCATCCCCATATTTATTGAAGAGAGTGATAGGGTTTTATGAACCCTTAGATTCTTTCTCTCGAAATTTTAAAAATGTTTGATAATTTTTTGAATGCACTATGTTCTCCTTTGCAGATGGAGTACCCGAAAACTGCACCCCTGCCCCAGTGGAACTGGAATCAGTAGTGTCAGCTTTAGAGGAGCCTTCTTGCCATTTTGGGTTGGAGTATTGGGAATCGCCACAATAACTCCAGATGGAGGCAAGGAGGACACAGTCCCATCAGGGAGAGTGTTAGTGCATTGACTCGAGCTCTCAGTTGAGCTCGAGACCCCTTGTACATGATCTGATGTAGGCAAAGTCTTTGGTTTTTTCTGTTTATATGGCCAGGTTATGTCTGTCTGAACAGATATAGATTTTGTAGAAACTTTTACTACACTCGAAAACGATTTCCCTTGTGGTGCAATGGGAATGAGTGAAGTAAGTTCTACTTGCTTCCTAGCATCAAAATATGGAATCTTCCGTTCAGACATTACCTGTTGAATTCTTTTCTCTTTCTGTCATATTGGACATTCGCGAGAATAAGTAAAATGCTTACCCTTGCAATTAACGCAGCAAAACTCAGCCTGGCAGGCAGCGCTCTCGTGGCCATCATGACCACAACGAGCGCAGGTGTCTTTGCCCCTGCAGACGGTCTTGCTGTGTCCAAATTTCTGACATTTATAGCAGCGAAGAGGGTTAGAAATATAAGAATCAACGGGTATATTTAAATAACCTGCCTTGATTGACTTCGGTATGTCGGGACGATTAAAAGTGAGGATATAGGTGCTTGTAGGAATCACCTTATCTCCTCGGCGTACACTAATTCGTTTAACTTGTTGGACGCCTTGAGAAGAAAGGTATTCTACCATTTCATCCTCACTGCTGCCTTCAAGATCCCGACAGCGAATAACGCCTCTACTAAAATTTAATGATCTATGTGGAGACACCTTGATAGGAATGTCTGCCAATGTTGTTGACTTAAGAAGCATGGTAGCATGCTGCTCCTTAACACATTCTATCAAGAGTGTTCCATTTTTCAATTTTGTAATAGCCTTGGGCTCACCGGCCATTTTTGTTTTAAATATGTTAGAAACGTCCTCTGAATTAGGACGTTTCTGCTTTTGTCGTTCATTGATAGGTGTGTGTGGGGGGGGGGGGATTGGGGTATCCATGAACGTAATATTATTTTAAATTTATCCCTCGTCGTCCCCCAGGTTACTTCCCTGCCTACTAAGGGGAGGACTAGCACGGATAACCAGCGCATGGCCTCAGGGCTCGACGAGGGGTATACTCAAGCCAGAAAGTAAAAATACTAATCCAAGCCGATTGACCCAAGCCACCGCTTTGTAGAATGTACTAAGGACACAAAGGTAGTAATTGCTGAGTGAATAAACAACAGCATTACATTGGAAAAGGGTACATTCTACAAAGCTAAAACGACCAAAGCCGATTGATCAAAGTGGGCCACTCGGACCTCCCGTCTAGGTGAACCATGGGCCAAAGTAATGTGTTGCAGAAAAAGGGCTCGCAAGCCAAATCCCCACTCAATTACCAGGATTCCACTCTCCACCGACACGGGTCGCAACGCACGGCAAACACGTTGCCCCATTACAGGGATCCTTTTAGTCGCCTTTTACGACACGCAGGACATACGAAGGGTATATTCTTATCACCCCCTACACCCCAGGGGGGGGGGTGTATCAAAGGACTTTTTAACTAACTTTTATTATGAGATCTGTGCTAAAGGATTTGTTTTAACTAACTTTTATAATATGGAAAGAACCACACGGCCATATTCATTTGTAAATACTCCACGGATCCAGCTATGTGGTTTTTACTGCGAGAACTTCGCTTGTCCACATTAAACAGCGGATTCTTTTTCCCACAGGGTTTTTTCGATCCGCTGCGATGGCATCAAACAGCTGGATCTCCCATTTTAACTTTCATTATAACAAAGTGAGAAGATGACCCGCCCTCTCTCCCCGCGACAACGATTTTAAAACCATTTTTAAAACCGTGTTTTAAAGTGATTTTTAGATATACAGGAACTTTTAATTATTTTAAATCTGTTTTAAAGTGACGGTTAGATATACAAGAACTTTTTATTATTTAATGCTTTTACCTAACTTCTATATTTTACTCATTCAGATGTAAATAACTTAATTAAATCAACCTGTCCATAATATCATACATTATGTATTGGACGTTAAATTTGTAATAAACAACAACATGTTAGATACATAAATGTTAAATACATAAATGTTAAAAACATTATTGGTTTTCGTTTCAGCTTGCAATGAAGACTTTATTGACCGTAACTGCCCTGGTTTCTACCAGAAACGCGTTAAAGTGGGGGAAAGGCGACACCATATCTTCAACACTGACCAGCAGCTAAACCTGTTATCAAAAGCAAAGACCTGGTACATGGACGCTACCTTTCGAGTTATCAACAAACCATATTCACTGATGTTCTCGATACACGCATTCATAAAAGCAGGAGAAACAACCAAACAGGTACCACTTGTTTTTGTGTGATGTCGGGGAAGAGTCAAGAGGACTACTATAAGGTAAGATATGATCTATAAATGAACATAATCGGAATAAAGTAACATTATATGATCTATAAATGAACATAATCGGAATAAATTAACATTCTAAAGCTAGAGTATAAATGGACGTTTGTGGTATTTATTTTACAGGTTCTCCGTGCAGTTGATAGGATGTTGCCTAGTCAAATTGAGTTGGAAGGATTCGTGGTCGATTTCGAGGCGGGGTTGTGGCAGGCCTTAAGGCAACGTTTTGGAGGTATCAAGATACATGGATGTGTGTTCCATTGGACTCTAGCTGTCTTCAGAAAAATTCAGGAAAAGGGATTCCAGGTATGGTATACGATCTTCTTTAATACATCTGCAACAATACAGAAAATATCAATAAATAATTTTAACTACAGGTTCAACGACATTTCAATGTTCGCCTATATAGATTTACGTCTATTTATATTTAATTATTTCAGACAGTTTATGATGAAAAGGGGGATGTTTTTAACTACCAAGTAGACTAATGGCCCTCCCCTTCCTACCGGAAGAACACATTGCTGGCATGTTTGCCCATCTATACGAAAGGTGCCCGGAACTACAACCAATCTTACAGTATGTAGAGGAAACGTGGATAACATCGAAGCTCTTCCCTATAGAGGATTGGTGTGTTTTCATGAAACCAGTTCGAACAAACAACGACGTCGAGGGTTGGCACAACCGACTTAATTCACGGGTGAACGCCAGGGGTCCGGTGCCTTTTTATCTATTGATATGCGAATTGTTTACGGAAGCAGAAAATGTAAGACATCCTTTTTTTCCCAAAAAATCTTTTACTTATAATTGACTATATACAGCAACGATTTTCTGTATCAATTCTAGATGACATTCTAATTGATTTGATTCGTTCGTTCGTTCGTTTCTGGGGTTTTACGTCCACTTCCACCTAAGGTGATATCGTAGACAAGGATGTTTCCTAAGAAACTTACTGGAGAAAGCCGTATGGATTATGCTTTGGTCCAGTTTAATTTGAGACATAGTGTCTTAGCAGGGAATGCCCAAGTTAAAAATCTCATCGAAAGGAGCGGAGAAAGTTTTGGGGTAGAAAAGGGGTGGCGAGCGGGCGCAGTCTGGTCCGCTTGGCCATAAATGTTACGATCTTTGTTTTGGGTGGGTAGGGGTAGGTAGGACTGTCAGCCGGGGGCCCTAATTGATTTGATCAATATTTATTATATATATATATATATAACGCTCTAAATCATCTGGCTTCCTATTTATGTGTGAATACAACTCAACTAACCCCAGTTATTTACTTGTTTCTATTATTAATTCATAACAATTAATTATGTGTTTATTTAACAATAAATAATAAATTACTTTTACCAATACATAAGTGTTTTTGTAAGTGATTGGCTTCAACAGAACGTAAGGATGCCATCCTTTGAACTCTCGGTATTGCCCGTGATCGAAAGAAATACAAAATGTAAAAATAGCCAACGAGTCTAGCTGCACGATTCTTTTGAGACAATGTTCTTTGGCGCGTAGACTTGTCGTTGTGTCGTCTCCCATCCATACTCATGACCCAGGTTAGGAGCAGACCAGTAGGACGTTAAACCCCATGTCATTTCATTTCCATACTCATAATGGCGCCTTATTGAACATACGTTTTGATAATTTATGCGGAAATGCATTAGGCGAATATATGTAAACCAGAGGATAAGCTTTATATTTTGATAAATATATGTTTGATTTGTCTTCTCCATTGTCAAAATATAAGCTAAGTTATGAGTTTATTTTAAACGCAAATTATATTGTTTATGAAATATTGTGAGAATAACAGGACATGGGGTTTTAAGGTCAAGGATAAATCCCTACTGTCCATTTAACGATAGTACTCCAGTCATTAAGCACGAGATCCAATTAAAATAATTTCATCATATCTGACAACATAAATAATAGATAGCCGAAACCCAAGCATATAAAACGCGAGATCTGTGCGGCGTAATTTCAGACAAACATGTCGATTCTAAGATCTATCAGCAGACTCATACTATCGACTTTGGTGGGGTTAGGAGATAGACAATGGTTTTATTTTTAATCTATGCTTGTAACTTATGTATTCACTCAACCAAAACAGAGACCACTCGGACCAATCAATTTATATTGGAACGCCACTCGGACCAACCCAACGGACCGCTTCTTGGATCATTGTAACTTATGTATCCACCAAAACAGAGACCACTCAGACCAATCAATTTATATTGGAACGCCATTCGGACCAATATCTATATTTGTTACTCGGACCAACCCAACGGACCGCTTCTTGGATCATTATTTAGCTTCACTTATTCATTTAAAAAATAAAATACAGATTTTAAATAAATATTATTTATTATTAAATCACAATACAAAGAGGCGAATAATTTATAGGTGAATCTATACATACTTTAACAATGCCTTTGTTACTAGATGTGAGCTAGGAGTAAGTATATAACAAGCAAATATTTTTTATATGCCCGTCTTTATTGGCCCAGTCCGATGAATCGAACAGCAAATATTCATATTTATTACATCAATAATTTTTTATTAAATATTTTTGTCTTAGTTTTTTAATATGCCTGTGATATAAGCTCGCCTTTATTGGCACTGTCTGATGAATCGACACCAAATATTCATATTTATTACATCAATAATTTATTAAAAAAAATTTTTAAATTTTTAAATGCCATTCTTTATTGGCCCAGTCTGAATCTAACATAGTCGCTCGGGCCATAAATCGAACCACATTTCTTCAGGATTTGACATGTACTTATGGCTTCTTCGTTATATAATTTCCATATCGCAAAAAGCTTTCCCTGAATTCATCTGGTCTGTCGCTTTTGATATCTTTTCAGCTTTCCTTCCGACACCATCTTCTTTTGATGATGCAATTGAACCTTATTTTACTTGCTCAAAGCCTCGAATAGTGTATCAATTGCAGCCGTAAATATAAGAATTATCACGGCTACAAATATTGCAGCTACCAGAGTGGGACTTGGATCCCTCATTGTACGAGTGGGTGAGAGAGAGAGAGAGAAATGGGGTTTAACGTCCACTCGACACAAACTAGGTCATTTCGGGACTAATATATGGTTTTATTTTATTTCAATAATTCGCTTGCCGTTAGGGGTCTTTAGCAGTGGGAGAAACCCACGAGGCTGGACAGGCGACCCTACTCCTTGTCACATACAACCGGGGATTCGAAACCACGCCAGTTGACTCAATGACAGGTCTTATGATACAGCACGCACGTGCTAACCATTCGGCAATCCAACCCCCCTAGAGTGGGTAAACATGTAGTTGTCTGGATCAACAAGTTCAGTCATTGATTTTGTGAGGTTCTGCCATATCTGTGGATTCTATATAGGATGTTGCTATCTTGCAACCCCTTTCGGGCAAGAAGCGGATTAATATATGATTTTCCAAAGCCTTTTGTAGATTTTTGAGTACTTAAATATTCCGCCAGTTGAACACTTTTGATTTGTTGTCCGGGCTTGGTAAAATTGTGTTAATGGTGATTAACTGTTCCAATGTCTGACTCGGCGGCTCATCATTTTCATTGTCGTTAAATAATTCATGCATAGTTTCATTTCCTCGGAAATGTGTTGGTGTCAGTTTTGCTACGGGTTCCCAATATTCTGGACTTGCTGGGGTGGGAATTCAGGACTAGTGGAACTGGCGGGGTGTATGAAAAATAGAAAATATTTCATAATATTTTCAAGAAAGACAATTTACAAATCAATAATAATATGCTAATTCGTCACTGTGCCTGTAAACAGTGGGAAAAACCACGCTGACCTGGCTTTTGATTGGTATATAAATCGTTCGTGTCGATATTAAGTGGACGTAAAACTCCAGGAACGAACGAACGAACGAACGATCTTGACGTTCAATTTATGCTTAATAATGTTTTTTGGATAATTTTTTACTATGCCAGGACCCAAGATATCGCATGGACAGAAATTGAGGATTATTAAATTAAGCGAGAACGGCTGGAGGCCATTTGCAATACGCAGGGAACTTGAAAAAGAATTTAAAATTGATGTGACCTGGCTAGCTGGTTAAAGCAACTAAAAGCTAGACCACTCGTGTTTAAAAAAAAACAACCCAAGGATATTACTATTGTGAAAAAACCTTTAAATGAAGACTGCAACCGGAGTGCCAGTGACATAAGGAAAATTTTAGCAGACTCCAGCACAAACCATATGTTGTTGAAATTAGTTGAAACGATTTGATCAAATCCAACGGCTACGCTAAATTTAGAAAAATGGTTGCCGAACCAGAATATGCACCTCAAATTGATTCGTACCTGTACGGGTCGCAACGCACGGCAAACACGTTGCCCCATTACAGGGATCCTTTTAGTCGCCTTTTACGACACGCAGGACATACGAAGGGTATATTCTTATCACCCCCTACACCCCAGGGGGGCTTTTTTCGGGGAGAAATAAAGTTAGCAAAAGCCCCGGATTGTACCACATTGTATTTGGATTATGCTAAAAAAAATATAGTTTCAGGGTCTAACCATATGTAACAGAGTCGTTTAATTATTATGACCGGAATAATTCTAAATGGACAGATACATGTATTACGGTATAGCCATGCCCCATATTTATAACACATACCTATTTTGAAATAAATTATAATCTAATGGAGACAACTCGGTTAACAAAATAAAATTAATATATTTCAGAAAAAATACTATTACCTCAAAAAGAGATTAATAAAATTTATACTAATTTTCCCACCCTAGCATCTTGGTTTTGTTTATGATACGGTTAAGAGAACGAATGATATATCCAATGACCTGATTATTATTCCCCAAATGTTTTCATAACATCTAGACTAATATTTTTGGAATATTTTTTGGCATGATATCGAAAAAAAAAAAATCTTACATAATGTATCTTTAAAGAATAGGCTTACCATAATTTTTTCCGAATGTGTCCTATAATGACGGCGTGTATACTCACAGACAAAGTCTCACGAGTTGGGTGTTGTTGCCACTTCAAAGTCCACGGACCCCAATGACGTTAAAATGACTGTCGCAATTTTGGTCAACAAACCATGAGCGCCTTCCATGATTGGTTAGTATGGGTCACGTGGTTGTTTAGCGCCAACTTCTGACCAGTGTCTTTGTCTCGTAAAGGGTCGTTAATCCTTTAGTTCCAGTCGACAGAGTAACTACAATGCCTGACGGTAAACCCCACGGCTGAAAGGTGGTATAATTATGGGGACGCGTAGTGGTGTCACGCTGTCCTTAAGGTAATCACCTCAAATAGTGCTGGTTGACTGATTTAACATAGTACTCTTTATAAACACGACGTCCGTTTATAACCTATGTCGCGACAGTCCGAGCAATTGTTTTTCTAAACCTTTTTAAAATAGCTGAGACACAACGCCATTTTTTTTTAAAACCCCACATTACATCGTTTGTTCAGTTTTAATGTATTTCATTTTTAAAAAGAAAATTTTAAAAACAGTTCTCGAACCCGCAATTTGCAGTTGGTCATAAAATTATGCTATACCCTTTAAAAACAGCCGTACTTATGAAAATTGTCACTTCGACTTGTGGCTGAAAAGAATACGACACCAAAACAGAAAGACTTGACGAAAACACCTATACAAAAAAGACAAATAATTTAAAATGTAAGTTACTTTTTTTTTTTTCTTTTTCTTTCAAAATTATGATTCAAAACCTACTATAAAAAAAAAAAATCTGTAATCGTTATTTCTATTTTATGTTACGGGGTACGGGTACGGGTCTAGACTGAAAGCATGTGGGTGGGTGTGGGGGTTGGGGAGATGGGGGTGTGGGGGGTGGGGGGGGGCCTTAGACCCTACATAATTTGAAGCTTTTAAAGAGGCATAACATTGTATGAGTACGGTATGATTTGACGATATATTCGGTCTAAAAAACATTTTCAAACTATTTAATTTATTATAATTTGTCTATAATGCATCTTGTATGGATTAACAGCGATACGTGCAACTGTCGTTGGATACCGTTGTTGAATTCGTTGCATAAACAAGATTTTTGACAGTGATGTGGGCCGAACCCTTGGCAAGACAGGTGCTTAGTCGTCCGGATAGGCCGAAAACAATGCAGAAC